TTTTTTTTTTTTAAGATTTATTTATTTATGTATACAGAATTGGGTCCAGGCTAGAGGTGCAGGAGTGGTGAGAGGCCTCACCAGAGACAAGAGTGGGGAGCAGAACAGGCAGATCAATAAAGTACACTGCTAAGGGAAGCAGTGTGTGAGACAGGAGACATCTGCTGTGCCATGTGGGTCACCTCCACAGCTGAGGATCAAACTTGCACTGAAGTGGCTGCGGCTCACTTGCAGTGCTGCATTCTAAACCACTGTGTCACCGGGGAGGGCCTATGTCACTGTTCTTTACACAATTATTTGGGACCCAATTTAAAAACCAAAAGAAAAATCAATTCCTGGGGCAAAGGATCCCATTAAAAAGTCTAAGCTCAGGGCCTTCCTTTGGGGGACACAACAGGTTAAAACACAGCACTATGAAGCTATTGCAGCCACTGCAGCACAAGTTTGATCCTTGACCAGGGAAGTGACCCACATGGCGTGGCAGACCTGACCTGCCTGCTGCTCCCCTCAGCTATGTATTTTAGTAGATCTGCCAGTTCTACTCCCCACTCTGTCTCTGGTGAATCCTTTCACCATCCCGCACCTCTGGCCTGTACCCCAGTTCTTGTATGCAGGAATAAGTAAATCTTTAAAAAAAAGTCTAATTTCATACTTTTGGATTGGATTACAGATAATGAAGGGTTAGAGATATATAAATTCATAAATAGAAAAGCTCATGATATACAATTAAGTGGAAAAGGATAACCTATATAAATATAATTTGTTTTCTTTTAACATATTAAATGCACATGTATCATGCATGTACAAGCAAAGAATCTAAGATGCCAGAAATAACTATATTAAGGTGGTTATTTTTGGTATAAGAATTCTACCATAAATATTTTTCTTTTATTAATGCTTACATATTTTCTCGTTTCTACAAAAAATACATTTATTTTAAAAAGTTACTTCATTTTACAAAATAGAGTAAGTTACTTACAAGTTACAATGCTACCAAGCAAGACAACAGCAGTTTTACATTCTCACCATTCTAGGCATCATAATTTTCTCCAATTTTTGTCAAATCTATAAGAAGATGGAATCTGGTAGCTTATAAAGTGATTTTTAAAATAGGAATAGCTACATCAGCAATCTTTCTTGCTCTTTATTAGCTGTGCCTGAGCTTTGAAACCCTAGAGGGTCTCATCTGGTGGACACTCCATGAGAGAAAACACCAAAGATATTAGTTGGTTCTGTTTAAGCCACATGTATGACTACTTAAATTGTTAAAATTAAATCAAAATGTTAGTTCCTTAGTCAGACTAGCCACATTTCAAGTGTTCAGTAACCACAAAGGACTAAGAGTTACTATACTGGACAGTACAGATATAGAACAGATCCATCACAGCAGAAGTTCTATTTAGATAGACAGAGCTGCAATAAATGCTGTTTAAGATATAGGGAAAAAGAAAATGCAGTTCTAACTGCATAAATAAATCAATGTAAGATGGCATGAAAAACCAAAAGAATACAAGATTATTTCTTTTTGGGTTAACCAGAACAAAGGAGATTAAACCTATAACTTACATCCGCTTTTGCTTTAAAACTCGCAAGGCTTTCTGCTTGACCATATTCTGGGGAGAAAAAGATTTTAATGAAAATACACATTGGCAAAAGAAACCTCTCAAATCTTCAAACTTGCATAATTACTCATTCTCACTTCAAAGTGGCCGACATGGTAGATCCTTGATTATTCTTCATCTCCCAAACATTTATTTATTTTTAAAAAACTCTAATTTATTTTTGGATAGAAGAACTTGGGTGTAAGATGGGTACATATGTGTGGGGGGAGAGGTGTGTGTGTGTGTGTGTGTGTGTGTGTGTGTGTTTCACCAAAGATATAGCAGGAAGCAGAAGAGGCAGATTTACTGAAATACACTGCTAAGGGGAGCAGCAGGTGAGACAGGAGACATCTCCTGTACTATGTGGATTACTTCCCTGGCCAAGGACAGAACTTAGGCCATCAAGGTGATAGCACTAAGATTAACCACTAGGCCATCAGGGAGGACCCTACACAGCCTTTAAAAGTCTCTGTCTTTGCATACTACATCTCAGTGTATTGAGCTATGTTCCTTTTACCTAGTTCATTATTATCTCTATCTGTAGTTGCAACAGTGCTGAATTTCTGTAGTTAATAGTCTTAGGAAGATGTCCCACTTGACATCTTCCTAACCATTCAAACTCAGTATGTCTGAACTCTACAAATTGACTTCACCTTGGAAGTTACTAGTAATGGCCCCACTAACCTTTTCTGGGTGTAAGGATCTTAATATCAACTTTGCCTTTCCTCAGTATGTTGTGTATCTATGCACAGTTTGGAACTCACTTTCAAATTGGTTCCTGTAAAGTTATTCTCATGACTACCTCCATGCTTTTGCTTTCATCTTCTTGAGTGTAGATAAGCTTTGCTGCCTCAGATCACTTTTCATTCCATGCCAACCAACTAAGATGGTTAAGGAAAGGCTCTTGCTACTTCCCTTTCTATACTGTCCAACCACCATTTTATTTGTCCTTTCTTATGAGGAAGGGAAAGCAGATGTGATTAATTCACAGATAATAATACCTTACATTTACTGAGTGTTTCTGTACTGGACACAGGGCTATTCAAGTCACATGAACTACACAGTTAATCTTCAAATGGTAATGTAGTTATTATCCCCATTTTAACAAGGGGAAACTGAGGTTCAGTGATGCTAAGTAACTTGCCCTAGTCCACATGGTTAATAAATTACTGAGCTGGGAAAAAACAAGGCAGTTTTATATCTATAGCTCATGTACTTAAATACAGTTTTTATTTTTTTATGTTTTTACCTAATGGAAGAAGAAAATAAAAAATTGACATTACTAAGGTCAGAGCTAACAGATAGCATTGGTGTTATTGTTAGAGCACTGTCTCTAGATGACTACTGCCATACTTCTCAGCAGGCCACTCCTAACCAGTCTATTACACTCACCTAACCTGACCAGCTTGGTAACTCACTGTTCTGGGCACAGCTCTCCTTTGCAGGAGCATATGCTAAGTCCCATGTACACACTTCTGGATATGTGATCAGCATCTTCTCTTCTCAAGTCACAGCCTCCCTCTGATACCTGGCTGAACAGTATCCTCCCTAAAGGATACATTCTTATATTTAACTCTTTACCGGACTGTGAGCACCTATTCTGTATCTCTAAGCAGGCCTACCACCAGAAGCTCAAGCTAAGCTGTCACACCTTCTGCAGCTGCAACCAACTTTACCTTTCCAGGACCCTCTCTCATCTTCTTGATCTGATCCTTGTATTTCACTAGTTCAGCATCCAAGCGAGATATCTTCTTGTCAATGGATTCTGCCCTGCTGTCCACCTAAAAGGAAAAAAAATCAAAGGTAGTGGTGATTATTGAAAACATGTACATAAGGAGGGGCAGGATAGGAATATGGGGGGAAAAGATAAGAAATAAAAAGAATACAATGCAGATTTCCAGTGGGGGAAGGAGGGTTGATTTCCATTCAGAAACAATGGGGGCTTTTATAAACTACACTTCAGCCCCAGATTCTAATATTCTAGGGTCCTCCTCAAATATGTTTGGGCAGGGAAACTATGCGAGATTCACTGGGTTGAGTAGGTATTTCCCTAGAACTGGCGACATTTCAGGTTGGGGGCGCAACCAAAAGGTGTACGAAATGTGCCAATGCCTGGTAATCATGGTTAAAGCTGTAGATCTAATGCTCTTCCCAACATGGCAGTAGCTTAGTGTGAGAAGCCAGGGTTCTGAATTTCGTGTTAGTGACACCTATGATTGGGGTACTGATGTGGACCTAGGATATCAAGCTGGGCGTTCTGACGTGAGATGGGTTGACAGATGAAAGGGTAAGGGGATGGGTTGGGCTAGGAAGGGTGAGTGTATCTAAGGCAGGTTGGGGGTGAGGAGATAAGGACAGAGAAATTGGAAAGAGCAGTGGGTATCAGAACGCCCTGGGTCCAAGTAGGCGAGACAAGCGATGGGGTCCGTGGTTTGTGGCGTCAGGAATGACCTGGGTAACAGGAACAAAGGTGGGGTGAATGGGCTGAGGTGTAATGGGCCGGGGAACGCGAGTGGAACGGACTGGGAGCCGCGAGCCGGAGTGGGCGGGGCCCGGGGTGTCAGAGGCCCTGAACCTAGTTATTCGAGGTCAAATGCCCACCGTGCCGATGCAGTCAGTCAGGCTGGGCGGCGGAGCCTTCGGTTTCGCTTTTCCGAAAAATCGGTTCATCTTGGACGGCAGCGAAGAATAACCACTGAAGCAAAACCAGAAACGGAAACAGAGCCACTGCCGCCTTGACTTCCGGCTCCCAGTGCGCAAGCGCAACAATGCCTGCTGGCGTTTCCTGATCCTTTTTCCGGGTTTTTAGTTCGACCTTCCGGGGAAGGAGTGCTAAGGATGGTCCGTGGGGAGTGGAAAATGGAGATCCAGCAGGGGGCGTGGTCTCGGTGACGGATATGGGGCGTGGCTTCATTTGAGTAAGGTGGGGCCTCAGCGGGAGGGTGGGACGAGGGAGGGGGGGAGCGGCCATAGAGCGATAAGGCGGAGCCGGAGCGGGGCCTGCCCCGAGGGGCGGGGTTGGTAGCCGACACTGGGCGGGAGCGTAACCCCGCGGGTTGCAAGACACTAAACTCAGCTCACACCGCACGGCAATCGACAAGCGCGGGTCTGGCGGAGCGCAGTGGCGCGCAGAGACCGCGAGGCGACCGGGAGCGGCTGGGCCCCCGGCGGCGCGCCCCGCGGCCCAGCCGGGAACCGCGCCAGTCGGAGCCCCAGGCCCAGTGCGGCCCGCCTCCCTCTCAGCGACCCTCCGTCAAGAGTGCAGCCAGCGGACATGTCCGATCCACCCGGGGCACCCCCGCCGGCGCTCGCCGACCGCGGGTGAAGAAGAAAGTCCGGCCTCGCTCTGCCCGAAGCGAAGAGGTGACCCGGAGCGAAGAGGTGACAGGGAACGAAGAGGTGACTCGAAGCGAAGCCGTTACTCAGAGCGAAGCGCAGGTCCAGAGCGAAGAAGTGACTCAGAGCGAGGAAGTGGCCTGGAGCGAGGAAATGGCGACAGCCGGGCTCAGCGTGACTGTCACCCACCGTGAGCGCGGGTGGCAAGGGTGGGGGGTGTCGGTGCGGGGCTCGGTAGGTCGGGCGGCGTCCGCGAGTTTGGCCACGTGCTCCGGAAGCTTGTATCCTTGTGTTTGTCCTGGCGTCCGGAAGTGTGATTGTTTGCGCTGGTGGTGCCAGCCGGGGTGCGGGTCTGTGGCTGCACACCCATCCTTGTAGTGTAACGTATATTGTCTTGGCTTATGCTTTTGACCCCCTATGTCCGTGATTTACGTCCTTCGAGTAGTCTGTGTTATCGTGTGTCTGCAAATTATCGTGGTTTTTTTTTTTTATTGTGTCAGGTTTGTATTTGACTGGGTTGTGTGTGATTCTTGTGACTGGACACTTACACACCTGCTAAGTCTGTACTCATGTCCACTGTTGGAGTGGAATCTTGGCCCCAGCATACTCTCAAGCTCCCTTGCGGTTTGCCTTCTTTGGAATTGACACAGAACCAGTCAGTTCACCAGAGAGCTGAGTCCTTGAGGTATCCTTAAGTTCAGCTAGGGGAGCCTTTAATGTCTTCGAATCTGGAAACCAAGATTCTAATTCTTGCAGTTTTGAGTGAACTTAAGTTGTCACACCTGTCTAGGCATCCTATTTCTTCTCTGTGCATTATAGTTAACATCTCGGCTGATTTCATGTGGCTTAGCAGGCTCAAGGCTTGGAGTCATGCATAGGACATAAGTTACTTCTTACTGCCCACATAGGTAGAAAAGAATTGACTTCTCTGCCCCAAAAAGAAAATGTTTCTGCTTTTCAAATTTATTCATCTATCTGTTCACTGAGCACCCACCCCATGAGCCCAGTGGGAGATACTTGGAATTAAAAACAGTACTTCACCTTGGGGAGACTCAAATGGCTTGTGATGAATAGCATGCATTTTGGAATCATATAGATGAGGCAAAGTTCAAGCTTATCACATGGGTCTCCAAAGGCAGATCTGAACTGAACTGAACTAACAGTTTGCTGTGAAATAGGGAGTAACAGGTACTATTTCATGTGTTGTTCTGAGAATTGAAATAATGGATGAAGTGAGCCTAGTGTAGCTTAAATATTAGCTACTATATCACTAATATTGTTAGTTACTTTGAGGAATCAAAAATCCTTGAGCATGTCTCCAGAGGAAAATTTGGTGAATAGTAGACTAGGCTGTTTGGAATAGGTAGCATGTGAATTCAGGCTTAAAGGCTGGGTAAATAAAGAGAATGAAATGTCAGCCTGTATTGGTTTATGTGAAAGACTTAAGAGAGCGCCTCTCTTTCCCCAGGCAATGAGAAGCATGACCTTCATGTTACCCCACAAGAGGGCTGTAGTGAACCACTTGTCCAAGACCTGGCCCGAGTTGTTGAAGAGGCCACAGGAGTCCCGCTGTCTTTTCAGAAACTCATATTTAAGGGTAGGTATCTCTCTTGCAGCTTTGAGTCTTTATTCCTAAAAGGTATGTTTAAAGTTGCTCATCCTTACCTAATTAATTTTTCAAATTGGGCTATTTCTTGTTTGTTTGTTTGTTTGTTTAAGACTCATTTATGCATATAGAACTGAGGTACAGGCCAGATGTGGGGGGGAGGGGGTTCATGAGAGGATTCACCATAGACAGAGTGGGAAGCAGAACAGGTAGATTGATGAAGTACACTGCTGAGGAGCCCAGCGGGTGAGACAGGAGAGGTATGCCATGCCATGTGGGTCAGCTTCCTAGCTTGTGATTGAACCCATGCTGCAGTGGCTTTGGAGAGCTTCATAGTGCTGTGCTTTAACTCGTGTACCACCAGGGAGGACCCATCTTGTTTGTTCATTCCTTCAACAAACATTGAGTGGACACTTTCAAATATTTGGGCAGGTATTAAGAGTTTATATCATACAAGGGTTATAGAAATCTTAGCATTTGATGAAATGCATGGGCAGTCTCCCCTGGATTAGATCCTCTTCCCATTGTATGCTCATATGGTACTCCATACTACCACTTCCTGCATAACTTGTATTATGATCATATATTTGCTTAACATCTGGTTTCTCAAAATAACATACTCCAAGAGAGCAGAGATATTGCTGTGTGTTCAGTGCCTAGCGTAGTGTTGACAGCAAAGTGTTGAATAAACATACCAGGTCTGGATGTGGTGGACCCAGTGAATGATGCTAATTTCTTTCTCACCCGCATCCTCATTCTATCCATCTCTATGGGAACCCATAGGGCTCTGGTATTCTGATATCTGATAGGACCACGTTTATTCTGCTTGGTGCCAATCATTATAAAGAATTTAGTGATGGGGAGTATTATTCATAATGCAACTCCTTATCTTTTCTTTTTAAAAACATTTCAGAATTATAAAAGCAATCCATGTTTCAAAATAGAACAAAGCATGAAGAAGAATATATTCTGCTGAATAAAACCCCTCATAACATGTAGTGTATTTCTGTCCAACTATTTTTTTCTTAGTCTTGGCATCTGGAAGGGTGGGTTCTTGTTTATGTTTGTTTTATTCTTGACAAAACAGATTATATTGATTGTACAGTTTTTTCTTTTAATTTTTTCTCGTATGCACATGTCCAATTATTTAGGATAAATATTTCAAGTAAAATTACTCGGTTAAGACAGCTCCTTAAAAAGTTTACACCAAGGCCCACCAAGGTTAGGATGCAGCACAGCAAGCTGGCCACAGCCTCTTCAGCGTGAGTTTGCTCCCTATCCCGGAAGTGATCCACATGGCGCTGCAATCTCTCCTAACCTGCCGGCTCTTCCCCTCAGCACTGTACCTTGATCTGCCTGTTCTGCTCCCCACTGTCTCTGGTGAATCCTCTCACTGCCCCTGCACTGCTGGCTGTACCTCAGTTCTGTAAGCATAAATAAGTAAATCTTTAAAAAAAAAGTTTATACCGAACTATCACATTATTTAAAAAAAAAAATAAGTTTACACTGGGGCCCTCCCTCGTGGCACAGTGGGTTAAAGCACAGCGCACTAAAAACCTAAAGCTACTTTAACATGAGTTCAATCCCCAGCTCCAGAAGTGACCCACATGGCATGACAGACCTCTCCTGACCCGCCCACTGCTTCCCTCAGCAATGAACTTTGTCAGTCAACCTGTTCTGCTCCCTATTCTGTCTCTGGTGAATCCTCTCGCCGCCTCTACACCTCTGGCCTGTGCCCCAGTTCTGTATGCATAAATAAATACATCTTTATTTTTTTTAAAGATTTATTTATTTATGCATACAGAACTGCGGTACAGGCCAGAGATGCAGAGGGCGAGAGGGTTCACCAGGGACAGAGTGGGGAGCAGAACAGGCAGATCGAGGAAGTACGCTGCTGAGGGGAGCAGTGGGCCGGTCAGGAGAGGTCTGCCAAGCCATGTGGATCTCCTCCGGGGCTGGTGGGGATCGAACTCATGTGGAGTGGCTTAAGCTTCTTAGTGCAGTGCTTTAACCCGCTGCACCACCAGGGAGGGCCCAAATACATCTTTTTCTTTAAAAAAGTTTATACTCAAAAAAGTTTACACTCTTCTCATTTGTGGACACACTTGTTTATTTCCTATACCCTTGCTGAAATCTATTTTTCAGTATTGTACTATTGTTACAGTTTGACATAACTTTTTTTCCCCCCCAGGAAAATCTCTGAAGGAAATGAAACAGCCATTATCAGCAATTGGAATACAAAATGGCTGCCGGGTCATGTTAATTGGGAAAAAGGTAAAAATTTTTTTTTTATCAGAATGCCTCAGAATTATATGACTAAGGTCTTCTATACATATTTCTGTTTAGAAGGCCAGATTGAGGACCCAGGTTCTAAATTGGTGAAATAGCACTCTAAACAAATAGTCTATATTTGTTTGATATCACCACCAATTTTGTTCTCATGCCCTCCAACTCTTCAGGTAGGTCTTTTGCTCTGGGATTAGGAGAAGTTGTACTGCCTCAATAAGACAGCTTTTGTGTTGGTGGTGAAATCTGAGTCTTATTAAAATGATACCTAAGACAGATCTTACTGATATGGAGGAGGATTTGTAAGAGAATTTAGGTCAAGAAATAAAACCTGTACACTTAAAAATTAAGTACTCTGCAAATTTCAGGAATCTTTTTCCCTTTAACTTCTCTTTTTACTAAAATCTCTCACAATGGAAAAACCCTTTTTGGCTGGAAAGAAAGGTTCAGGCTTAAGAAAATTGGGGGGTGGGGGAGGATTGGTGACAGGAGAGTTCCTGGGATGACCCTAAGAGGGTCTTACTCAGAGGATCCTGCCAGCCCTGCATTATGACACAGTGAAATTGTTGGTCTGTGAAGTTCTCTTCGAGTGAGGTGGCTGATTCACAATGAAGAGAGGGCAGAGATTAGCAAAGTGGAGGCAAAGAAAATCTTTTTTATTTTAAGATTTATAAACTTATGCATACAGAACTGGGGTACAGTCCAAAGTTGCAGGGGCAGTGAAAGGATTCATCATAGTTAGTGGGGAGCAGAATAGGCAATCAGTGACGTATACTGCTGAGGGGAGCAGTGGGTGAGACAAGAGAGGTCTGCTGTGCCATGTGGATCACCTTAGGGCGGGAATCAAACTTCCCACTCAGGTGGCCACAGCCAGCTTTGCAGTGCTGCGCTTTAACTGGCTGCTCCACCAGGGAGGGACCGGAGGCAAAGAAAATCTTGTCCAGCCTTGGAGCTAGTAGGAAACAGACTTAGGATTTGGCCACAAAGAAGAATGTGAACAATTTGGGATAGTATCAAAGTAGGATGCTGTTGGCCAAGCTACCAATTATGTAGGTGAGAGAAAGGGACATGTAGATTTTTCACTTAGGAGTCAGGGAGAATGGGGCTGGGCAGTGGGCAGAACCCAAGGATTGAGCTTGAAGAAGCTATAGGTCCCCCATTTGAGCTTTTCTGAGGTGTGTGGAGCCCAGTCTACTTCGTTTCTCAGCTCTACCAATTTCTTGGGTTATAGAACCTTAGATTATTTTACATTAAACTTTAGTAGCTCTCTCAAACTGTAGTAAGGGTTAAAACAATAATGTAGGTAATGTGCTTAGGATACTACCTGGAATAGAGGGAATATTCAATAAAGTATTCATCATTGTAACCATTATCATATTAAAAAGAAGTGCTCAGTTGGTGGATGCCATTTAGGAATTCCATTGAAAGCCGTGATAGAAATCCACTTGTCTTTTCTTGACTCCACTGATGTTTAGTGTAATTTGTTTACCACCCAAGCTTTAGTCTAGTTGTTGGTACTAGCCCCAGGCTTAGGTTGCATCTGGCCCTTGTATTGGTTCCATTCGCCAAACCCAAGCTGTCAGAATGTTTACCTGATTAATACATTATCTTTAGACTTGAGTCTTTGTAGATTAAATACCTTTATGCATAATCCTTTATGCTTTCAAAAAGCATCTGAATTAAGACTATATTTTCTTTTTAATTTAATTTTTTAAATTGCTGTCTATTTTTATAAAATGTTTGATTTCTCCCCTAGGAGTAATCCCCTATGAAATTCTCACCACCAAATCACCTGTGAACCATCACCATAGTCTCTTGTGTTCTTTCTTTCCCTGTTTGATCCCCTTTCTGTGCTGAATGTCTCTGATTTATAGTTTGCCTGCTGGTTTTGCCTTTTTCTTTCTTGACCTTAGTTTGGTTTCCCTTCATTCAAATCTATAAGTGAAACCATTCATATTTTTCTTTTTCCTTTGGACTTATTTCTCTAAGCATAATCCATCCAGCTCCATCCAGTTGGCTGCAAATGGAATGAGTTTATCTTTTTTTTTTAAGATTTATTTATTTGTGCATACAAAACTAGGGTATAGGTCAGAGGTGCAGGGGTGGTGAGAGGATTCACCAGAGACAGAGTGGGAGCAGAACAGGCAGATGGTCGAAGTATACAGCTGAGGGGAGCAGTGAGCGGTCAGGAGAGGTCTGCTGTGCCTCGAGGATCACCTCTAGGGCAGGCAGGGATCAGAGTCATGCTAAGTGGCTTTAGCTTTTTAGTGCTGTGCTTTAACCTGCTGCTGCACCAGGGAGGACCGACTTTACCTCTTTTATTGCTGAAGAGTATTTTATTGTGTTTATGTACTACATCTTCTTGATCTTGTCATCTATTTTTGGGCATTTCGGTTGTTTCTATATCTTAGCTTTTGTAAATAGAGCAATAAACATAGCAATACAGGTTTCCTTTTAAATGAATGTCCTTTAGGAATGGAATTGTTGGGTCATATGCTAGCTCCATTTTTTGTAGTTTGAGGGTCCTCCATACAACTTTTCATAGTGATTGGATCAGTTTGTGTTCCTATTAGTGTAACAGGTACAGGTTTCATGGACTCCGCCCCCACTCCAGATACTGGAACTACTAATCCCATCAATAGCAAGGAGAAAGGTAAAGGAACAACCCAGGGAAAGAGGAAGAGAAATACAGGTTAAACTAGAATGTCCTTCCAGTTGCTGACTTGGACTCCACCAGCACGCTGAAAACTGATCAAGAGCCAAACGACCAGCTGCAAACCACCAGGCCAAGGGCCAAGAGACCCCCAGTGCCAACATGTCCTGTTTTATCCTAACCTGGTTGCTCAGCTCCACCTTCATGTCCCATTGTGCTTCTCCTTGTTATTGATGGGATTTGTTGTTCCAGTATCTGTAGTGGGGGTGGAGTCCATGAAACCTGTGCACTAGCAGTGTAAAAGGGTTTTTTTTCTTTGAATCCTTGCCAGCATTAGTTGTTGCCAGCTTTTTGAAAAAGACTTATTTATTTATGCATGCAAGAGCTAGGGTGTAGTCCAGAGGTGTGTATGTGGGTGAGGGAGAAAGAATTTACCAGAGAAAGAGTGGGGAGCAGACCATGTGGATCTGAAATACACTGCTTAGAGGAGCAGTGGGGAGACAGGAGAGGTCTGCTGCACCATGTGGGTCTGCTCCCTAGCACATGATAAACTCATGCTGCAGTGGTTACCAATAGCTTGAGTGCTGGGGCCTAATAACCTTGCACTCCCAGGGAGGACCCCTCTTGTCAACTTACTAATTTTTGAATATTTATACATATAAGAACTGGGGTACAGGCCAGAGGTGTTGGGGGTGAGAGGATTCACCAGAGACAGAGTGGGGAGCAGAACACTCAGATTGACTGAAATACCCTGCTGAGGGGAGCAGTGGGAAGGTCAGGAGAGGTCTGCAGTGCCTTGTGGATCAGCTCCGGGGCCAGCCGGGATTGGTACCACAGTTGCTGTGCGTCGCTTCCTAGTGCCACTAGGGAGGGCCTGTTGCCAGCTTTTTTAATATGGTCCATTCTCACCAGCATGAGATGGTATCTCATTGTCTTGTTTTGCATTTCCTTGCCTATGTGATATGGAACATTTTAACATATACCTGTGGGCCATTTGCGAGTGAGTACTTTATAGGTCTTTTAAGTCAGTCTCTTATCAGTTGTGTGGGGTTCAAATATTTTCTCCCATTCAGTAGTGTCTTTTTGTTTTGGTTGTTGTCTCTTTTGCTATATGGAAGCTTTTTAGTTTGATGTTAGTTTGATGTTATCTTTTCCTTCATTGTCTTGGCTTCTGGAAATGAGTACTCAAAGATATTTCTGAGGTGCATGTCATGGACTGTTTTGCCTGTTTTTAATATGTATTTTATGGTTTCAGGCCTTTATTCAAGTCGTTTATCCATTTTGAGTTGGTTTTTTTGTGTGGTGTGAGGTAGTAAGTAGTCTAGTTTCAAACTTTTGCATGTGGTAGTCCAGTTTTCCTAACACCATTTATTGAAGAGACTGTCCTTGTTCCATTGCATATTCTTTACTCCTTTGTCATAGATTAGTTGTTCATATATGTGTGGCTTTATTTCTGGGTTTTCAATTTGATTCTATTGGTTTTTTCTGTTTTTGTTCCAGTACCATACTGTTTTAATTATTATAATTATGGCTTTGTAGTGTAGTTTGAAGTCTGGGAGTGTGATACCTCCATTCTTCTTTTTAGTAAGACTATATTTTCTGAGACTATATTTGTTCAGTTGTGGTCAGGCTTTATTTCCTGACAGAAGCTACTGTTCTTAATTATTTTTTAAAAATATTTATTTATTTATACATACAAAAACTGAGGCATAAGCCAGAGGTGAGAGGATTCACCAGAGGATTCACTAGAGACAGAGTGGAGAGCAGAACAGACAGATTTACTGAAATACACTGCTGAAGGGAGAAACAGGCAAGACAAGAGAGCTCTGTTCTTCCGTGTAGATTAGGTTCCTGGCCGGGGATTGAACTCATGTTGCAGTGGCTGGTGATAGTTTCATAGTACTGTGTTGTACCACCAGGGAGACCCGAACTATTCTTAATTGTTAACTTCATTTTATTCTTACACATTTTAGAATAGTCCAGAGGAAGAGGTTGAACTGAAGAAGTTGAAAGATTTGGAGAAGTCTGTGGAAAAGATAGGTAACCAACTAGAAGAATTAATTAAAGAACTTGCTGGAATTCAGCAGGTAACTCTCTTTCTGTCTTCAAGCAGAATTTTGTGAGTGCCAGAGCAGCCTCAGTCGTCAGGCTTTCTGGGTTCAGATCCTGCTCTGTTCTGTCACTTTAGACAAGTTTGCCTTTGTCTCAAGTGCTTCTCTATCAAAAGGAAATATTGGTAGTACCTCCTTCTTTTAAGTTGTTGTCAGGATTAAATGATGTAGTTTGAGCCTGACACATACTAGGTGCTTTTTTTTTTTAATTACTTTTTTTTACATCCTTGTTGTGTTTTGTATATTGTTTGATTTCTCCCCCGAGATGTAATCTCCATGATTTCCCCCATCAAATCACCCATGGACTGTAACCATAGTTTCTTGTGTTCTTCCTTTTCCCTTTGTTACCCCTCTCTTTCCCCATATTAAATGCTTTTTAAGTGTTACTCTCATTGTTACCGTCAAACCCTAGCCAGCGTATATTTGTGCTCCTAGGAGAGCACCTGCCAGGCTGGGGCCTATATGTCTGAAACAGAATAGGTGGCTTCTCTCAGTTTAGTCTGAGAAAACATTTAGTTCGATAGAAAGTTCAAGTTGAGCATGATTTTGACAAGGTGCCATTCATTTCCTTGTATTAGTGATGGAGTGTAAAAACCAAGTAAGGATTAGGTATAGCTCCAAACAACATATTTCTTCCCCAACTACCTTTTGTAATATTTTGTGGTGTCTTAATTACAAAAGCAATACATGCTGTGATTATACATATTTTAAATAAAGGTAAGGGCACTTATAGGAAAAATAAAAGTTATCTGTAAGACCTAACAAAAAGGTAACAATTTCTAAAGATGGGGATATTTTTTTTCCTTACAATAAATACTAGCATGTTACATGTATTTTGTAAATTGTTCTCTTATGGATAAAAACTTGAACTTTTTCTTATGTCATTGAAAATGGTTAGCAGCTTTCAACAGCTATAAAGCTGGAGAGATTCCAGTAGGACTAAGGACATGGGATCTCTGTCATGCTAGAGCCCTTTGATCCACTCCTGAGTCCCTCAATGAAATGTTTCGATCCCTACTCACAAATGATCGTACTTTTTAAAACTTGGCATATTATTTCATCATTAATGAATAGAGAGATCATGGTTTACCTAACTATTCTCTATTGTTTATCAACCAACAGCTTCCTATGATGCATAAATTGAATGTCCTTGGGCAAAAATATTTTTTGTCCTTTTTTTTTTATAGGATAAATTTTTGAATTGGAATTGCTTGCTGACATGTAAAACTTTTGCTATGTATTGTCAAATCTGCATTTGTAGGTCTTTGCTTAAATGAACATCCTCAGAGGTTCCTGCTATCCACCTATTATTACCAGCTAACTGGTCATTAAGCTAAGCAATGTGACTCAATAACAGGATCATTTAATAAAAATAATGTATGTGTGTCCATTTGTTAGCACTGTCTGTGTCAGGGTTTATGTTGAATGTATTCATTGCCCTTTGTTCTCATGGTAACCACTAGGTTGTAGGTATCATAATCTCATTAGGGTATAAATGATATCATAATCTCCATTTATAAAATGAAGATTTGGATTCAGGTAGGTTAAGTAACTTCTTCAAGATCACAAATGAGTAAATGGCAGTCAGGATTTAAGCCCAGGTCCGTGAAACTAAACCTTGTGCTCTTTACCATCCAACTCTCGTATACAGGTAAATGCTCCTGGCTTCACCAGAGTGAGGCCTCAGAAGGCATTTGCAAGCCCCAGTGGGCTGCATGAGATAGAGGGGACTGCAGCCTGTTACAGTGCTTGAGTTGGCCCAAGGCCAACTTTCTGTCTTTTCTAGGGTGAAGTCATGGGTCTGACATCTGTCCTAATCTGTTAGGTGAATGTGGCCTCAAGATGTGGCCACTTCATCAGTTTCTTGGCTTGGGGTTTTCTGTTGGCCTCAAGGAATCCTTGCAATAATACCTTATTCCTCCACAGGGTTTTCTGGCCAAAGATTTGCAAGCTGAAGCTCTTAGCAAACTCAACAGGAGAGTAAAAGCCACAATTGAGCAATTTATGAAGATCTTGGAGGAGATTGACACACTGGTAATTAAATATTCAGCTGAGAAGAACAAATTTCCTTTGCTTATATTTCACTTTCACTCTCCTACAATCTTATTGTCTGAACAAGCCCGTTATTTGTGGATGTTTAGCACCTACTATGTGCCAGGCACTGCTAGATCCTAGGTAAATACAGAGAAAGATAAAACAGTTCTCATTGCAAGGGATGCTCATCAGATCCTAGTATAATCCTTAATTCTCATGAAGCTAAGACCCAAGTATTCCATGGTCTCATAGTCAGAGAAACCCAATGCTTCACTTTTCTGTAATAGGACTTATTTCTGTCACAGAGCTCATTATCTGTACAGAATAGTTTAGTCAGACACAGCCTCTCAGGAGACTATTGGGAATCACTGATGCCATGTTCCCTTCTGCCAGTGAAAAGGTAGTGATTATCTCCAGCATGATGCCTTGTTCTTAAGGATGAACTGCTCTGCTTGGGGTTGGGGTGAGCTTATGCTTTGGGCAGACATAGTATCCAAACATAGGAAAGTGAAAGCATAAGGTCTGCATTACAAGCCAGTTTCCATGGCACACATTGAGAACGAAGGGAGCTTTTATAGGGACAAGAGTCATGAGACAGGCCATGTAGGATCCAGACTGATGGGAAGAATTCCCAAACATACATGTCTCATGGATATCAATGACCTGTGACATATTTGATGGGTCATGAGTGGTTGTTTCAAAACATGTCACTTCCTGAAACTGTTTATGTGTCAATTTATTCTTTCATAGATTCTGCCAGAAAATTTCAAAGATAGTAGACTGAAAAGAAAGGGTTTGGTGAAAAAGATTCAGGTGAGTTGTGGGTAGAGCATTACAAAATGAAATGTGTTGGTTTGTTGGTGTGTTTATTATGTGTCCACAGTAGGGCAGGATAGATGTGGTGTGTGTGGCATGGCCTTTCTTTGGTTGCTGTTTCTCAACATGAACCCAGAATATTAGACAAGCGCCTCTTTTCTGTCCATCTGTATATATGGACTGGATACTGGATGTACTATTTGCTCTTGTGATTCCATAATCCCATATATATATACATAGCAACAATTTAGGGAGGAAGATTTTTTTGGGAGCAGATAAGGCTAGGCTGACATGTTACACAATTCCACAAAACACACCCATTAGACATTTCCCCTGAAGTTGGACAGGTCCCCTGCAGTTGCAGTATAGTGTTCCCAAGGCAAGGCCTTCTGTCCTCACCACCCTTTTGGGAGTTGTAGGCTTAGGGCATTGGCAGAAACCCTGGTCCAGTGCGTCCCTCACTTCCTTCCCCTAACCTGGGAGCCCAGGCCGTCTCCATCTCTGCACAGTGTTTTTTTGGGTTTCTCAGAATATCTGGACAGGGGTTGGCTAGTCCTGAACGCCTTGCATTATCTTTCAGGCATTTCTAGCTGAGTGTGACACAGTGGAGCACAACATCTGCCAGGAGACAGAGCGACTGCAGTCTACAAACTTGGCACTAGCCGAGTGAGGTGAGGCGGGAGAGGCTCTGAAGAACAGCACTACCGGCTCTTCCCTCACTGGAACAGAAGTCACCTGATTTCTCCAGGGTTGTGGGGGTCAATTGGGTGATTGCCAGTTTTCTTACTGCCACACTTATTCTCAATGAACAAGTATTGTCTTTGCAACCTTAAGTGGTTCTCTTTTCTCATCCTGTCTCTGTGTGACTGAATTGGCCAGCAGTGCACCTTGTCCGGAGAGGGCTTCTTTGCCCAAGTCTTTCCAGCTCCTTTGACCTTTGTGTACTTCCTTTGGCCTGGGTCAGAACTCTTCGTTTGTCCTGGGATAGTTCCACTTTATAACCCACCCGTATTTTTTAGATATTGGATGTCCTATTTGCTCTTGTGATCCCATAATCGCATAGGATGTGAACCATAATCACCAGGAGGTTGCATCTAGTCAGGAATATTGGGATTGTCAGGAGCTTGTGTTTTGCACACAGATAGTCCAGGTGTCCCTCACTATGACCTAGCCACAGAACAGCTGGCTGGGTGGGTGGTTCACAGACCCTGTCCTTACCTCCCAGGCCAGGAGATTGCAGGGGCTCCTTCCTGGGGTGGCATCTATGGTTGATGCCTGGACTTCCAACAGATTTCTGGAAAGTTAGAACCCAGTATCGACTGAGCCTCTGCCAATACAAGCAAGCGCTGGTAAAGCCAGCCAAAACTTCTCAGGCATTTTTTCATAGGTGTTTTTTCATAGGCATTTTATTAACCTCAGATTTTTCAAATCTGACCCTATCCATTTGTGGTCTTCTCTAACTTCCCCTTAACAAAAAAAAAAAAAATTGTATATATTCCAGCAAGCAGAAGGGTGTGTAAACTTGCTATTGGATAAAAATTGAAAAGCAAAAGCCTTCTGTGGTTGTAGTTACACTTTATGTTTTAATAAAGTCAGAAGTGGTCCTAGAACTCTTAAACAGATGAGCTGCCGTCTTCCTTCCTCTTTTTTTCCACACAGTGCCCAGGAGTGTCCCGACACCTCTCTGAGGCTTACCTGATTTGGCAGAGGGGATCCGCTGAAGTCCTGGGAATTTAAGACTGTGGATGGGACTTTAAAACAAGCTGGTGGTGTAGGGGTAGGCTAGTGGATGAGGCTTGGGCCCATCCATCACACCCCTAGCTTTAAACATGGCAGTTCAATATTTATGTTTTTATATAGTAGCTCACAATTTATGCAGAGTTCCTTGTGCCAGATTCTAAATTCGTCAGGTGTTTCACTTGTTTAATCCTCACATAACCTAGGGGCTAGACAGGTACTATTCCTATTTTAGAAACGTGAAAATAGAGAGAACTTAGATAACTTGCTTTTGTGTAAATAGCAAAACCAGTCTGAGCTAGCTGTGCTCTTAACCTCCATTGTACTGCCTCCCAGCCAACCCAGGGTCTGGGGCTCACACACATTGCTCTTTTTCTCTCATGTTCTCACTCTGCCTCTCCTGCTATCTTCCACACTGGCCCCTCTGCAGTTCATTTGCCACACAGTGTCCTGAGTGATCATAAAGTGCAAATCTTACTTTGGCCGTCCCCTGCTAGCAACCTTCCATGACTTCTATTTCTCTTAGAATAAAAGATAAAGTCCACCTTACACCCTGTTCCATCTCATCTCAAGCAGTGCTCCTGCTGGCTTTCTGTTGTCAGCCACTCTGGTCTTCTGTCAGGTCTTCAGTGGTTGCACAGCTCCTCACCATCCTTCCCCCACTCCCAGCCCTTTGCTAGATAACTCTTATTCCTCCTTCAGAACTTGTCTTCTCTGAAGAAACCTCACCTACTGTCTGAGAACCTAGCAAGCTCATCGTTTATAGCTTGCCCTAACTTTTCCTTATAATCTGTGATGATTTATATCTGGGATTATTTGGTTAATACTTGCTTTTTACAGTGGACTGTAAGTTTAAGGCGTTTCTTTGTCTTGTTAACAGCATATTTCAAGTACATTGTCTGGTTTATAGTAGGTGCTTAATAAATATTTGGAAAATGAGTGAATCACACATCAAGAGTATAATTCCCACCGCCACTGGAGCTCTGTCAGCATTGGAATTTACAGCATTTAACAGTCATTGTTTTATTTCAGGGTTGAGAAAGTGTGGACTGCTGGGTAGATGTGCGGGATGGTGCCTGGACCTGTGTACACAGCCCACCCACACAGATCTGCATATCCACAGGGTGTCTCTGACTGTGAAGGGAGAGAACATTCCTGCACATAACATTCATGGCACATAATCAGGCCTACCTATGAATGGGACTCTGGTTCCCACATACACCCTTCAGCTCCACAGAGCTGAAAGAATTCTCCCACACATGGTCTTTCTTCCAGGTACTAAGCAGCAGGCCCCATCCACTCAGCTTGTGAAATTCGGTATGGTTAGTATGGTAAACCAAAGACTTCCATGCTTTTTTTTTTTTTTTTTTTTTAACGTGTTAAAAGGACCATTTTATTAAGAAAAGAAGTAAGAAAAAGAGACTAGTCAGGTGGGCAGGTGTCAGTGATTTCTACAATTCCTCAAGGCACAGCTTAAAGGTTATCTCCTCTGAGAAGCCTTTGTCATACTGTAGTTAGGCCTCTTTTAGTTGAAAATATAAACCTAGTCCTAAAGAGACTGTTGAAATGGAAAATGTATTGGCTGCATGTCAAGTTTTCCTGTATCTTTGAGAAGTTCGAGGGCAGCTGGGTCTGAGGAACTGACTAGCACTTCATCTCTTTCTTTGCATGCTGATGGTGTTCTCTCAGTCTTGCTTCTTCCACAAGTAGAAAACATGGCTGCCAGCAGCCCCACTTCACACATCTTAACAGCTTCACTACCAGGGAGAAACTGCCTGTTTCCTTACTAATTGGAAAACTTGGGAGATTTTCTTTTTTAACCAATTAGCTATGACCAGGGCAGCAAGGTCACATGTCATGATAGAGTGCCTTTAGGGGCCCACACTTAAATTTCAGGATGGTTCCCAGCATCTGTAAATTGGGAAATTAGGTATTTCTTCCTGTGTGGTGGCTGGCATATTTGATTTTCATTGTGTGAGTGAAGTCTGGGAGGAGAGAGTCAAGGAGGAAATGTTTGGCTGAGCTGTACCACTTGAGGGTAAGAGGGATTTCCCACTTAAGAAAGAAGCTTTAATGTCACTTATATCCACTCTCTCCTCCTATAGTAAGTGAACTCCTAACTTGCAGCTTAGCACACAACCAACCAGATAACTTTCCCAACCTCCTGGTGCTAGCATGACCAAGAGATTACATTTCAGCAAATGGGATGTAAACCGTGTATGTCATGAAAAGCATCTTTAAAAGTGGTAGTGTACCCTTCTTTCTCCTCTCCAATCTGAGGTTGGAATAGAGAGATGATAGAACAGCTATCTTAGATGTACAGGTGGAAACTGATGAGGATGGCAGAGTAAAAAAAATAGCATGAAGTTAGCATATGTGATGATCTGGGTGTGAGAAAAGTTAACATCAATCTAAGCCTCTGTTATTTTGACTTTCTATTTCCTCACAGCCAAACATAATTTTATACATTGCTATGTAGGATGTTTCCAAATGGGAAACCGAAGTTGCTATTACCAGAAACAGTAGAAGGGCTTGTACATATATCGGAGTTCCTATGGCCTGTAATCTGAGTAACAGTTCCTGCCCATATTCCCATTTTGATGGTCCAGGGTGTGTTGGTTCCTGCCTTCTGTGTCCTTTTCCTGTCTTCCCCTTCAGCCCCTCCTTTCCTTTCAGGCCTTGGCATGTTTCACCACAGTTTTTCCTGCTCCATCTCCCCACCCTAGAACAGAAGCCAGAGTCAATATGAAACTGCACCCACCAGGTCCCTTTCACACTCCTTCCCCCATATACTGTACTCCCCAACATCAAGAGGCTCCTGCTACAGGCTTTTGCCTTAAGACATTTGGCACATACCACAGACTGGGGCTGTGTGGTGGAATTTGTGAACACTGTCCTGTGGGGCACTGTGAGTGTACATGTGCTGTGTGCACAGGCGTTGCATCTGATAGCAACATGTTAAACAACCAATCAGAGTGATTGTTATCAAAGAACAGAGCAGGGCCTGGAAGTCATCCTGTGAGTGGCCAGGGTGCAGTGGGGACACTCGAAGACTTGGGGCAGCACCTGTTTTCAACTGTTACAGACCTGGTTCAATATTTCAACAGTAGTTTGGCTGTATGGTTCTGTGGACACTTCCTACTGCCTGAGTATCAGTCATGGTGGTGTCGTTTGAGTGACACTGGGGAGACTTGAGCCCAGGGAGAAAGCCATGAGGGGTGTGGTACCCTTCCAAAGTTGTCGGAGATTGAGCCACACACTTCAGCAGTAGCAAAAAGGTACAGATTGCACCTAGGTTATTAACCTTAGTGGCAGTCAGGCTGGGGCAAACTGGAGTACTGGCAAGAGTCTTGGACATCGGGACTGACCTCTCAGAAACCTGACCATGTAAGAAGGCAAAAGAAGTCAAGGAGTGGCTCAAGGAGTTAAGTCTCAGCATTATGAAGCTATCATCAGCCACTGTGGAGTGAGTTTACTCCTTGGCCCAGGAGTTAAGCCACATGGCACAGCAGAACCAGGTCTTACCTGCTGCTCCCCTAAGCAGTGTTTCCCACTCTGCTTCCCATTCTCTGTGGTGAATCCTCTCACTCCCCCTGCTCTTCTGGCCTATACCCCAGTTCTTGTATGTATAAATAAATAAAAATAAATCTTTAGGGAAAAAACATAAGGCAGAAGTTACCTGGGACCTTTTGGGGGACATGTAAGAGGGTTGAGGAGCACTGCAGGAGGTCTGGTTCAGAGTAGGGAGGGCAGCAAAATTCTACCCTACCCCCACCCCTGACCCCCCACCCCCAAAGACTACATACAGCCCACTTGGCTGCATTGGGCTGGCTCTTTTATTTCATATCACATCTTCTCTGCTTCTTCCACTGTTCTCCATCCTGAAGCTTCTGGCTTAAAGGGCTCTTGTAGGCTCAGCACTTGCCATCCTTTACGATCTGGGTGTCCTGTTTGGTTTTTCTAGGATCACAAGAGGAAAAGGTGAGATCATGTCAGGGGTGACTACACCTTTCAGTTCACCCAGGCATCCTGCTGCATCATCTGCCCACTCAGTGCAGGTCCCAGGAGTTCCTGGGCACATTCTTCCACAGCTTTGCCCTCTTCATACCCTTACCCTGGGAATTCTAGCATCCTGGGTTTCAGCCACCACTGTATGTAATAGCTGCAAATTCATCTCGAGCAGATCTCTAGGACTGTTCATGCAGTTGTTGTTGCACATTTTCACTGGAATGTCCCCGAGACTCAACCATCACAAATCTAACCATTCCCTTCCACCCTCCTGGTTCAGGCCATTCTCAGTCAGTTCTACCATCTGTGTAACCATCTCATTAATTATGATCCTTTTCTAAGGATAGTGTTCAGCTGTGCTCCTGTTCATCTGAAGTCTTGAGCAGTTTCCAAGGAATTTCTTCTTTCATCTCACTTTTCTCTGACTTGCTCAAGGGTCTTATTAATGAAGAAATGAGAGCAAAGAGACCATCTCATACACCAATGTCATGTTCTGACTTTGCATAGCCCTTTATTCATTTCTTGCCTTTTCCCCATTCTCCTTAAATTCTGGCATATCTGCCTTTATATATTTCCTCACATATAAGTTTTCTTTTGCTTCTATGCTTTTCCAAACTCATTTTGCTACCTGGGTTACTTTTCCTTATTCTATTTCCTAGCTGATTCCTGCTTATTCCTTAAGATTCAGGGGCCATGAAGTCCTTCCTGCTCATCCTTGTCCTGTATGCTTTATTCATTTTAGGCTGTAATTGGCTAAAAATTGCTTCCCACTTAGTCTTAGCATACACCCCAGGAGGCCAGCTGTGCGACTAGCTTATCCTCTTGTCTGCCCTAGCAGACCTAGCACCTTCGTAGTGCTTAATAAATAGTTCTTGGCTACAGGAATAAATGAATAAATGAGGTCACCTAGTCATTTGGGCACAACAGGGAAAAGAACCCAAGTTTTCTGCCCCTACTGCTAAATCCCTTCCACCATCAGCAGTAGCTATCTGCTTGGTGTCACACACCTTCTTTGAATTATATTTGCACTAATTCTGTTCAGGGGAATTGTTGGCACACTTACTGGAATTGTTCTCATGCCAACAAATGTGTGAAGGAAGAAGTAGGTCAAGTTTTGACCCTTTCAAACTTATATGCACCAGAGATGGCACCACCCACACAAGCTACAGGGGAGGTTGGGGAGTGAACTTACATGCGGGCCAAACAGAGGTGGCATTCACTATCATATGTGACCCCGTCAGTGCCACAGACCGGGTTATATGTCCGGGGACAATTTGGAGATTCTGTCATATGCTCACAGATGGGCTGCAGAAGAGAAGGGAGGAAAGGTACTCAGCGATCACGAAACAGCAAGGGGGGACCCAGTGGCTCTGCTTGGAGCCAGAAGTCTCCAAGGAGGAGCCAGATTCAGAAAGCTCCAGTGTGTGTCCAAGGAGCCTAAAACCAACCAATACCCCTTGGCATATCTGCTTGTATATGCATGTGTAGCAGTGTATATAGCTATGGGTATATATCTGCTGATCCAATTACATGGGCATGCAGGTGTGTACCCATGGTTATGTGGGTACACATAACCCCAGACTCCTGGGGTTAGGTTTACACTCAGCAGAGGGTCTAACTGAAACCTATACTGCTGACCCCATTGGAGACCCCAGGCAACAGAACCACCCACCATTCCCAGTAGTCCCTTCTCCCTTGGGGGCTCCTGAACTCAACCCTGACCAGAAAAACTTATCAGGGCCTTGGTATGAGAAAGTTGGAGAAGTGGGACAGGGCTTGGGACTTCTCTAAGGCTCAGTCTGAAAGGGTTTCAGACTGAGGTTAGGGTCAGGCCTAGGACTATGTTAGATGAGGAATCAGGCCCTAGAGATGAAGAGTGCTCCAATTGATTAGCTGTGTAAACTTGGATGAGCTTTTTCTACTCCCTGAGCTTCGTTTCTTCTTGCACAAAAATCATAAAAATAAAATTCTCAAACAACGTTAATTGGAATAATGTATGTAAAGTTGTTTGCTTTTTGACAGAGTAAGGGAAGGTGCTGAATGGCTAGATGGGGAGGACACTTTGAGCCTCTGTATTTACCTACATGACAGTTTCAAGGAAGCCACTGCTTTGAGGCCCTGGAACCCCAGGCACAGGGCCAAGGTGGAATCAGGGTTTAGAGACAACATGGCATTTCCACTCCAGAGTGAAAAGACAGATAAGGGGATGTGTATAGGAAGGACTGCCATATTCTAGAAGGCCATTCAGTGTGCCAGAGTTGCCACTCTGGCCTGAGTCCCACAGCTTGTCCATCTGCACTATGCAAGGTAGAAAGCATGAATGAGCCTGGGAGGGTCTCATGCTGCTGGGAGGGGCCTTGGATACCAAACTGGGGCACCTTTCTCAGTGATCTGGAGGCCCGGTTTGATGGGGGAGACCACCCTCAGCCTGGTAGGGCTAAACTGGAAAACTGCAGGCTTAGGAGGCTACCCTGATGGCTCTGACTGTGCCATTAGAGATGTCTGAGCAGGAGTACAAAGAAAAGCGTGGGTTTCCCAGCAAGGATGACAGGACCCCTTACCCACACTCCCCCCCGCCCCGCCCCCCACACAAAGGAAAATCCAGGACTGTAAGCAACTGCCTTACCATTCTGGAGAAAACAAACTTTCCTGCTGACGCTGACACGTCTGAAAGGCAACAAAAGCCAAGAATTAAGGGGAGTCCACCCTAGCCCCCAGGGACTGGCTTCTTCAGCGCTTCTAAAGGAAAGGTACTATCCAATCTGGAATCGCTCAAGGAAAGGTAGTGAGTCACTGGGTCATGGGGCTCCCAGAAAGTTGATGTGACCCTGGGTTACAGGGATAGACAAAGTCTAGAATTAGGGAAGTGACAGTCTAGTTTGTTCTTTATTAGTCAGACACCACTGGGTTTGTCCCATATAAGAGTGGTGATGTTGTTAAAAGTAACAGTTCAGTTACTTTTTTCAGTTAAGATTATCATTGTTGGCTTCCTTCAATCCTTAGGCATGTTACCCAACAAGCACTCCCCAGTATAATGCACGCAGATCTGAGTCTGCTTCCTGGGGAGCTTGACCAACCTATGCAAGAGACTTAGTGGTGAAACAGCACTGTTAAGGGCAGAGCTAGGATATCTGGGTCTTTCACTCCAGGCCTTGCTCTTTCTACACATACATAGCACCTTGTGACGTTTTTCAAATACCTTTCAATACTCCCATTAAGTAGGTTTTAGGTAAACATCATTATAAATCATTATCAGTGTATATTACCTTCTTTTCACCACCAAAAGTCTAATTCCATCCTTCACCATAGGATATCAGAATAGGAATTTGGAAGGTTACATTCAGACCTCTGCAGTTTTCTTCAAGCTACCACGTGCTATTCCATTCATTGGGTTACTCCTACTTCCCTATAAATCTGAGATTCTTGGGGCTCCTTGTTTCTGTTCCCATATGGCAATTCCCCTGCCCCCAACACACACACACAGTCTTCAAGCACTCCAGTGTACTGGGAGAGAAAGAAGGAGCTCAGAACCGTGTGGTATCAGAGTTTCTTCCTGGAAGATCTGCTTTTGGCTACAGTCAACCTGTCAGAATAGGAGCCCAGTGGGGTCTAGGTCAGGCTTCCTTCAGCTCCCACCACCCTGCAGCCAGCCTATCTGCCTTGGAGGCCATTTCCTTTCTGCCTCTCTAGTCTAACCCAGTCGGTGCTCATTACAGCACTAGAGCAACTTCCTACATTGTAGCTGGAGAAACAGAAGCCCCAAGATGGGAGGGGAATTCACAATCCTGGACCAGTATCAGGATTTAAACCCCGGTTTCTTTTCTTGTAGTCCAGGTGGGGGCTTTTCCCCACTATGGTGAAGGGTATAGAAAGAAAAGGTATATGCAGAAAGTCAAGACTTCACAGGCTGTTTTTGGCCCTGTCTCTGCCCCCACCCCCAAGCTCACTACCAGCTCTAAGTCAGAGTCCAAATTCTGCCCACTCACCTCTCTCCACAATGAGGAGGGCAGCCAAGGCCAGGGTAACCACACACAGGCGGACAGCCATGCTGATCCTGGGTTGATGTGGCCTGAGTAAGCTGGGGCCTGAACTGGAGAAAGGATAGGGTCCTGTTTATAGTGCTGATCCCTGCTCTTATCTTATCTGGGGCCAGATGGAGAGGCTGAGGACGTCACCCAGAGTTAATCTCTGCAGCCTGGCATCTGGAAAGGGCATGCTCTTGGCAGACATCCTGAGATGATGTGGTGTGGGGGCTGTGCCTGTGAGCTCCCCGCTCCATAGAGAGGAAACATTCGGACCTGCAAAGCTGACTCCACATGTGTGCATATGAGGGCAGGATCTAGAGGAAGGAGATATTCAAGGAGAAAGAAAAAGAAAAAAAAGCAACTGGAAGGTGGCAGGGGGTAGAGAAAGGGGAGTGGCATCATGTGTTTCCATGCTAGTGCCTCTACCAATCAATACTGTGAACTCAGGGCCCTCCCTGGTGGTGCAGTGGATTAAAATGCAGCACTGTGAAGCGAGCAGGAGCCACTTCACCAGGAGTTTGATCCCTACCCAGGGAGGTGACCCACAGGGTACAGCAGATCTCTCCTGTCTTGCCCATTGCTCCCCTCAGCAGTGTATTCCAGTAGATCTG